CGGAGTCGACCTCGTACACTCGGAAGCCGGAGTTGAGGTTCGTCAATGGCGTGATGGACGGTCCGATCTGCCAGAACGGGGTACCAATTGGTCTGTATCGTTCCATGGGCCTCACGCGGGGCACTCACCCATCCTACTGCCCCCGCAGTCTGCGCGCTGATGCTGGTGGCGTTGTTCGCGTAGTATATCTGCGCCGTAGCTAGTGAGCGGGTGCAGAATTCCGGGGTGCCGCATCTGCCACGCAGAGCCGCCGGAAGGGAGAACTCACCATGACTTGATCCTCATGGGTGTGGCCCCAGAAAATCGCTGTAGAATAGAAGGAGCGGCTTCTTCGTGTTGCGCTCGTATGTGATGGATTGATATGACAGACATACCCTTGATGACGTGCGGTGAGAACCGATCGACGCTGTGCGCGTCCGGCGAAGTGTGGACGTAAGAACAGGGAGAAACACCACGAAGGAGGACCGCTTACATTTGATAGACTGTGGCACCGAGGCGCTCGGTAAGCGATATATAGGGCAGTGATGGGATCTCTCCGCTCACATAGGTCGGTAGGGTTCAGGAGCGGGTTTGACCCGTCCCAGCCTGTGAGGACGTGCCCTAGAATCCAGACTGACGCGAAATGCCCGTCAGATACGAACTGAGAGGGGTACACGCTGCAATTTTACCAGAGTCACCAGCGTCTTCGGCAGCCTGCAGCTCGTCTGTGAGGAATCGAAGCATCCCCGAGAGGTCCGGATTGGTCATGTTGATATAGTTGAAGTAGTTCGCTCTGCTCATGGCGGTCAAACACCGGCAGGTCTACATGTGCAATGCTCTGACGTACGAGTACCCTGTGTTGATAACGTCCAAATCAGGTCAGACCGCTCATATCGCGTGCAGCAGTACGTTGCAAGACGTACACAAGTCGGTGTTCAGGGTGATGACGCGAAGCCCGTCCTTGCGGCGAACCATGTAAGCGGCGTAGTGGGCTTTTGCGAGGTCGACGGCCGACTGCGGGATCCATCCTTCGTGCTGCCATAGCGAAGCGACGTGATCGTAGTTCCTGCGTGGAGATGAAAGCTTGCCTCAAGGCTATCCCGGCTGCGTGAAGTACATACCAGCTGAATTGCTCCGCAAGAGCACCGTTTAGAGAGTGAGGAGAGTCTTGCGCCCTGTGAACACATCATGAATGTCGGTGAGACGTCCAGTAGAGATAAATGAGCCTGACTGGTTGTAAGAGTCATGGTTGCCGAGCGCAGCATAGACCGGGCCTGTGCCTAGCAGTCGCTTGAAGAGGTCATACACCACGGTCTCCGTATAGAGAATGTAGTCCCTGTCAAATATGGACGCGTGAGCAGCCCGCCTACAGAGTGACAGTGATATGATGAACAGTACCTCGATAGCTGGTTTTCGGAGTCGTGCGACACAAGATCCCCCGTGTAGAGGGTGAAGTCAAACCCGGTCTTTTGGGTCCCGGAGAGAACGGGGATCGACTGTAGCGCCGCCGTGACCAGCGAGAAAGGGGAATCGCTGCAATCATCCCTCAGAAGCCGCACAAACTCATCAGGATGCATTCTTACCAGAGGTACGCTCCATAGCGCGGGGCAGGGAAGACCGTCTGGTTCGGGCTCTGAGTGTTGTGGTTGTTCTCGCGACAGCAGAGGCCAGAAGTGCAGTTCGCCTCGGCACCGGTGGCAAAACCTCAAAATCATGTCAGCATGCCGAAGTGCTGGGACGCCGGAGAAGGTTGAGCATTACGAGGATCAATGTGCAGATCTGAGATGTGCAGGACTTTCAGATGCTTTCCAGACGCCTTCTTGGGGACAGGCAGGGGATCGGGCTTGGGCTTAGCAAACCAGCCGGTTAGGTTCAGAGGTGTCGTGGGCGGGAGCGGGCACAGCCCGGAGATAAAGTGCGAGCAAATCATCTATTACATTCGAGGTGAGACGGGATGTCTCGGGCAATGTAGCGATAAGTACCTGTCCATCGAGCCCGCCGACATCCGCGTTCGCAATGACTTGCGTGATGACCGAACCAAGGGAGAGGATGCCAAACTGCGTCGCGCAGTCATTGTTGAACTTGAAGTGTTCGCAGACGCGCACTGCTAGCGCAGGGCCCTGATCAGGCGCAGCCATTGCGAGAAACTTGCCAGCTTCGAGTGCAGCCTGGCATCGCGCACAGTTGTCCGTCCCGAACGCCGGATTGCTCGTGATAGACAGGACCTGTTGGAACGCGGCTTCAAGGAGCTTGCCGGACGAAGCCTTGGGCGGAAGAATATGGGGATCCTTCGTGTCGTTCTGTCCGTTCTGTGAGGCACGGCCTATGCGGTGCGGAAGTTGATACAAGACTTACTTTCGGAATGGTGGCCGGATTGGTCAGCTCAAAAGGGTAGATCTCATGCTAAACGTGGTGAATCATCAGCAAACGAGCCACATAGAGCTACGGAGCACCCACAGTGACTGGGTCGGAGATCACAGGCTGGGGTTGGGCCGAGGTCGCTGTGGGAGAGTTGTAGTAGTGCCTATACAGCGACGTCGGGAACACGCCAGGGGCTGCGAACGCAGAAGGCCCAAAGGTATCCGCCGACACTGGCTCCGCGCTGGCAAAGCTGTGAGGCACCGAGAAGACGACCGCGGACGCGGCAGCGACGCTCAGGATTCTGCGCGACACCATGATGGCGGGGACGAGGAGGGCCGTGAAGAGCGTACGGCGCATCGGCTTCGAAGGTGATGTCGCCTTTAAAGAGCCCCGAAGAGACAGCAATATTTAGCTCACTCCCTTCTATTGCGTCTCGACGCTGAAGGACGTGATGTGTCGAACGTGCGTCGCGTGAGAGACCATCGCCGTCGCGGCCAGGGCGCCAGTGCCTGACTTTTGCGTCAGGTACTTGACCTGCTATAATGATGATATAGCGCGTGTGTCAGGGATCGTGGTCGTCGGAACTTGGTAGTTGGAAGGCCTGGTGGATATCCGGAGTAGTATTAGATGCCTCAAGTTTCAGCGAGCGTGCCATATCCAAAGCAGGCTGATAGGCTTCTGTTGATGATAGCTTGATGTAGACGGAGATCTCGCAGGTCGTGTCCGTGCTGAGTTGCGGAATCAATTGCCAAAGAAGACCGAATCCAAACCGAAAAGAGTGGCACTGGGAGAAGACGTCGTTCGGAGGACGGGCCGAGCGTCCGCGCATCGCAAGTGTGACACTCTGTGACCGGGTGGCTGCCCTGACCGCTGCGTGTCACGCATGGATCTAGGCTCACCGCGGCCGGGTCAGGGACTCAGAAATATATAAGAGCAGAGTCGTCGGGGGCAGATCATTGTTGTCTCTCCCCACTGCGCACTCTTTGGCAGCATCCCGCTCGAAGTGTATGCTTTCCAAGCGATAGATCTCGAGAATATACGGTTACATTTGGCATAATCTGACGTCAGGTCCAGAAGAGTAGTAGGTAAGTAGTTGTGGGGATGGAGAAAAATATACTAACATAGAATCAGATGGGTGTGTGTCTAAGAAATCTGGACGGGAACATACAATACAGCTACGGGCACAACGCAATGACAGATAGAAAGCAGCGCAACCGCTACATAGGTCAGTAGATGCGGGAGAGTCGGGGATGATTGGGACGAAGGGATTGGTTTTCGAACAGAGGATAGACAATCTTGCAGAGGGCATCCGCCCCAAGCTCCAACTGTAAACTGGTAAGCGTGACGTGCGCGAACCAGCCACAGGTAAGTATACGCACCGGTACCCGTCAACGGACATCGCTGACGATTATCTGTCTCCTCCCCACAGGCAAGAGCATTCATGCCTTGGGATTCTCATCGGCCGTCCGCTTGGGAGCGTGCGGTGGGGGGTCGACCTGATTTCTTCCGTTGGCGGCGGTCGCAGCAGCCTTGACGCGGGCCTTCTCCTCCGCGATCCTCCTCGACTCCGTCCACAAACGGAGGGTATAGTTGTGGAGGGAGCGGGCGTACACAACAAATGGGTCCGACTCTCCGACGTGCTGCTGCTGGTGCACAGAGGTGTTCGCGGGGGACATCGAGGACGTTGCAAGCATGATGGTAGGACAGTGCACAGGGTATTTTCGAGGGCGGAGAGAGTCCGAACGAAGGTGGCTGCAAAGTCTCCAGGTATAGAAGGGGAGAGGTACGGCCGCGGAGAGGCGGGGACGCTGGACGGAGGCTCACAGTTCTCAAAGGAGGAGGGACGGGGGGCAGGTTATAGGAATTCTCAGCGCTCTGTGGCGAAGCAAGCCGTGCGGCCGTGGCTCCTGGGCAGCGATAGGACGGGGGACAAAAAAGAGGGTGCTTCTTGGTATGAAGACGTCGCGACAACGGCTCCATCGCTCTCCCTCCCCGCTCCGTGGTCGGCATCCACACGCGGTGCCACGGGGTCCTCCCTGCGGCAGGTCCCCTCTTGCTCAGCCACCACCGACACCGCCGTTCACCATCGCCTCTGTATCCATCCATCTTTCTAGCCGCGACCTGTTTATGCCTCCGGGCGGGCCTCAGTTATCCTACATCCCTCGATCACGTCTTGACGGTGCGAATGTAGCTCGGCGCGCGCTGGCCCCACCGACAGGGTGTGATCGAGCTGATCATCTCATGGTGAACGCCGTCAATCGCACCAGTTGGCGGGCTCCAACAGTACCACTACTGACGGCACGAGGGAGCTTCTGTGGCCGTCCTATGCGCCCCATTCATCCTCGACGCTTTGTCGACGTTTGTTGTTTCCTACAACTTGGTATAACCGACTCTGTAGGCTATCCGACAGCGCGTCAGCCATGCATTTCCACTGTTCAGGTTGCTCCACAACATGAAGTCATCATACTTCCTGGGCGCGTGAATACGCTCTGCGGCTCTGCGATTCGCCCTAGACCAATGTCTTCCTTCGGAGACTCGAAGTGTCGAAGTGTAGACCTTACAGTACTGTAGTAGATAGCGACCATGATCTACTACTTACTTGAATGGTGCGCCTACCGGTTCCAGCGTAAAATGCATACCCAAAAATATCACGCCACTGACTCTCTGGCGGGGAGTCGAACCCCGCTTTCGCGCGACCACCAATGCATGACAGGCGCGTGTACTAACCGATATACTACCAGAGACGTAGGATGTTCCCTGCTCTGCACATCTAGAGCCAGAGACATTACGAACGTTCTTAGACTCCCCACCCTGCTCACCTCATGAAGTTCATTCAATATCAGTACTAACTCCCTGCTTACTCCAGTCTCCGAGGCCATCGATGAATGCATGACGCCGTTCAGCGACAAGTATGCCGTATGCGAACAGGACCCCGGCAAAAGCGCCCAGAGGTCATATGCCGGCTGGGCCCAGTTTCGGTGGTCTTGCGGAGAATGATTTTCGGTTATTGGCACGTAAGCTCTCTCCGGCCCCTGGGTTTTCGGTGCTCGCCGGCACATAACAACTCGGGCGCTTAGTTGCCGGTTTCCCGCTGCCCAGCCGGCCGGATGCCATTACGCTCGTGTAAGACGACCGGCCGTCTGATTTACGAGCATCAGCTCAAGCTGGTTGCTCGGGAGTCGGTGGACCCCGGTGCTCATCCCGGGAAGGACCCCACCCGGCCAGATTTCGGTGATCCCGTCATATCAGCACGACCTCTCCAGGGACTTTCGGGGATGTGACATCGCACTTCTCCGGGGCCATTTTCGGTGATTGGCATGCAACTTTCGGGCCCCTCGGGGCCCATTTTCAGTGATCCTGGCATATGAGCTCCGGGCGCTTTTGCCGGGGTCCTATGCGAACCGGTCCCGCATCCCGCATCGATTGTCGGGCGAGTAGTATGGGGACAGGCAATCCGTGCCACCGGGAA